CCACAACCCTTAAGGAACCCCCTTCCTTTTTAAGGAAAGCAAAGGAAAGGCCCAAATACAGAGAGAGAGAGAGAGAGAGAGGGGGATTATATATTCAAATATTTGTCCATCGCACTCGCCTGTGAAGTTTTTGTCCTGGCTTTTGTTGTCGTTGGTACCAGAAAGGGGTTCCGTCAATATTTAACAGGCCACTTGTGAATTGTGACCTCTCCCCGGTGTGTGTGTGTGTGTTCCCATTGAGTGATTGCCTTCATGTTTGACTGATTGACTTGCGCCTCTCTTTCTCTTTCTCTCTCCATCTGTTTGCGCCCTGATCCTGGCCAGCGATAAGCTGGCTCCGGCAGGACATCACAGGCACACGCTCATCAATTTTCACGCTGACCCAACATCAGATGCAAACTATACACGGAGAGAAATAGGAAAAGAAAAAATAGGAATTAATGAAGGATTCAAATTAATTAATTAAGAATTAAAAAAAAAAATTTGAATTGAAAGCGGAAATTTATTAGGAAGTTTTAATAAGTCGGAGCGGCTTTCAAAATATTTAAGAAGACTTTAATGTTGAACTTGTCTTTGGAAGACATTAGAGCTGGAAATAAAATCAATTTTATAATTTATCGATTTTTTCGATACATTGATTTAAACTTTAAGAATCGATTTATTCGAACATGTGTAAACTAGTGGAAAATTTAAGTACAAAGTTAATTATAGTTTATGCAATTTTATGAATCCGAAATTTCCGGAATTTGCCTGAAAAAATCGGCATTGAAAATCGATTTGTTTTCAGCTCTAAAATACATTACTTTAAAATATATTAACAAAATTCCAATAATCAATCTTTTCTTTGCCTGAATTCTCCCAGAATTCCCTCTGGATTCTCCAATTCTCTTTGGCATCCCAATACCAACATATTCCCGCAATATCGTCAGAGCCTGTCCCATAAGTCTGGCGCCAAGCTGGCCATTAATTATAACGATTCCATTGTCGCAATGCCCATCAAAATCGGCATCTGAATCGGCTGCGTTCCGCTGGAATTTGTCGGTGATTTCTCTCACCTGGGTGGTACTGGTTCGCCCACCTTTTGCGGGTTTTTTTTTTCGCATGGAGCATGGAAAAGGTCAAGAGGCTGGTCTGGGACTCTATTGTGTGTGCGCTTGTGTGTCGCATTCATTGACAATTAAAACGTTTTTGGCCATTGTCCCCGCTACCCGGCACTGATCACTTTATTGTGTGAGAGTCGGACTCTCGGCCAGCTGTCCCTTGTGCCCAGCCTGCAACCCCTCGGCAAATCGCTCCTCCTTGACCCATGATTCGATTGCCGTTTGCCGAGTGGGCGCGTCACCTTTGATCTCACTTCGGACTGGACAAGGGGCTGCTGTTCTTTCATAATTTCTGTCACTTTATGTTCGAGTGCGATGCCGGACAATTGAATCCCATTTCGCAATTGAACAAAAAACACCTTTTTCGACCTTATTAAGCGGAAAACGGCAAAAAGAACCGCCTCATTGTTAAGTGATCGTAATTTATTTGGGCCAAGACGCCGCTTAGACGGCTAGAGGGACATGGATCCTAGATGAATAGGGTTTTGAATGGGATTAATAGATGGTCAGAGTTACAGGAGGTTCAGCTGGGAACCAGGCCAAAGAATCCTTTTTCTTTATGAGTCTAGAAAGTCTGGTTTATTACAAGTTAAATTTCTCAATTTTAATATTTTTTGTTTTATTAAGATGAAAAATATTTTATTTTATAATAAATAAATTTAAACAAGAAAGGAAGCTAACTTCGGCACGCCGAAGTTTGTATACCCTTGCAGATTGGTTTTGATGTTTATATTATAGATTTAAATGCTGAAAACACACACAAAACAGAGTTTCATTACATTTTACCTATACTTATTATGTTTACAGTTTGACAGTTACAGTTTTACAGTCCCAGCTTTACATTTTCTCTACATTTACCGATCGTTTATATAGCAGCTATATGATATAGTTGTCCGATTTTCATAAAATTTTTACCAAAATTCTAAAATAATAAAAAAAGCTTATATCTAAAAGTAGATAATAATATGTTGAAAAACAACGAAGGTTTAATTTTTTTCCTATTCATTTGCCGATCGTTCCTATGGCAGCTATAAGATATAGTCGTCCGATTTTCATAAAATTTTTACCAAAATTCTGAAATAATATAAAATGGCTATGTCTCAAAAATGATGCAAAAATATTGAAAAACAGCCAAGTTATAATTTTTTTTCTAAAAATTTATCGAACATTTGTATGGGAGCTATATGATATAGTCGTCCGATCCGGCCCGTTCCGACATATATAGCAGTGAGAGTATATAGAAGACTATATGCAAAGTTTCATTCAGATAGCTTTAAAACTGCGTAGAAACGGACAGACGGACAGACGGACGGACAGACGGACATGGCTAGATCGACTCGGCTGTTGATGCTGATCAAGAATATATACTTTATAAGGTCGGAAACGTCTCCTTCACTGCGTTGCAAACTTCTGACTGAAATTATAATACCCTGCAAGGGTATAAAAATAGTCTCTAGGTAAAGCCCAGCCTCAAAAAGCCTTCTCTGTATTTAATGATTTTCCCAGAAACATTACACTTTCCCAGCACTTTGGCTTTTTTCGATTTGTATTTTATTTAATTTAATTTTGTTTTTCTAGTAGAGTCAGCAAACTCGGGTTCAACCTTCAATTTTGCAGCTTCATGAGATGTCTTTTGTCGAGGGAAATCAGGAAGGGGATAGGTCTGGGCTTGTGATTGCCCAAGAGCAGCAGCTGGTTGGAAATGAGCTTTCATGATTCCATGAACAGAGAAACTGCTGAGCTGCGACTCTTAAAACAAGAAGATTTCAACACCTCAAGAAACCGCCCTTCGAGAAGAATCGAATCTTCCGGGGCCAAGAGATTCCCACACAAGAGATACCGCTGAGACAGCAGTTCGCAGCAGTCGTGGGAGAGCCACAGCCAAAGAAGCTCCTCCACGCGAATCGTTTTGAAATCGGAATCAAAAACTATAACATATATACACATTTATTTGGCGACACTGGGGGACATATGCTACTCCCACCTTCGAGCTTCTTGGGAACGTTTAGGGAACGTAAATGTAACGCCATTATCTTAAGAAATCTGCAGCGGAAAACATAACTCAAAAATACACACGGCAAATACAAGTTAAATATAAAATAAGAGGGAAAACAACAGAAAAACATACAAATGAAATAAGATATTTTAAATTAATTGCCGACGAAAAAACACAGAAACAGTTGCCTGCACGTGACCGGCCGATGGACGGGAACATATCCCAGACTTGGGTCTGGAACAGACACACACATACAAGGCAGGGTAAACATTTAGATTAGATCAGTGGCCGAGGCGCAAAAGTTCATTCAGCAGGAGCCAGGGAAGCAGCCAGGCTAGAAAGGGTATCGAAGGGGGGATACCTATTTGGGAATATTTTAATTTTCACTTGGGAATTAAGAAGGAGACTCTTTGATTAATTTGTAATATTAAATATAACTTTAAATTTAAATATTAGGGGTGAGCTATAAAGACTTTTTTATGAGTCAAACTGCTGATTATGTATAGGAGTTTTTTGAAGGGTTTTTCATATTAAATATAGCTTCAGGATTTTATTAATATTTTTTAACTAATTAATAAAGATGTATAAAGATATAAAACCATCTTGTAAGCCTCCTTACTTTCCCCCAAAACAATCGCCATCGCTGACTTATAATCCTAATTTTCCAGAAAAGACACAAACCGCTAAGGGAAACCATTTAATGGATATCAACCCCTAGATCCTTATACCAGATCCCGCCTATATAGTGCATATACCCGAGAGAGCTGAGAGAATTTCTTAAACATTTCTCATAGAAAGACATAATTTTCAATTTAATAAAGGTCAGGCCAATAAAAACCTATCAAAACTGAAGATATATACGAGCTACGTGCACCTGAATAGGGGACAAGACCACAAAAGGGTTGCTAGATCGGGAGCGAGTGCGACCTAGAGGCCATGAATGGGATATCGCATAGTTGCATGTGCGCCAGGTGAAGAGATGGAGGATGGAGGCTGCCGCAGGGAAAGGAGAACACACAATAAAATCAAGGCGATAACCATCTTTAATGGGATCCCAAGGCAGGCATTTCTCACTCTCGCTCTATCTTTGGCATATTAAATTGTTGAATCAGTCACCGAGAGAGAGAGAGGAGCCGGGATAGGGACTCGGACTCGGACTCAGATTCAGATTCAGATTCAGATCGGGATCGCTGGCCAGACAAATCGGAGCACGCACACAGAGAGTCGAGTCCGAAATTAATGACAATTGCTGATTGTGTGCGATAAACCGGGATGCTTGGGCACTCCGGCAAACCGCAAGCGGAGTGAGGGAGGGAGGGGAACGCATCAAATCCAGAGCTCAGTGAAGGTGCGCGCGTAGATCCCAGGGCGGCGATAAAGCCGGTAGAATGGAGACTCTGAAATTGGGAATGGGAACGTTAAGAACGGAGAACGGCGACAACAATTTCTTGTCGTTAAAATGCCAGTGTGTGTAGAGTGTGTGGTGTGTGTGGTGTGGCTTTGTATGTAGCTCACAAAAGAGGAAAGGGGGCTAAGGGCAAAAGGTGATCCAGCGGAGGGAATTATTATATGGCTCATAAAATATTTGAACAAGTCTATAAATGCCGCGTAATTCTGCTGCAATTAAAGCCAAGATCGTAAAAGGGAATTGTTTGGACACTTTTATGTGCCCCTACCCCCCTCCCACCCTTCCTCTCTCTCTCTCTCTTTCTTTTCCTCGGCAGCCTCCCCGGCGTATGCGCAATTTCTGTGGGAATCAAACTCCAGGTGTAATTGATATGGCGCCAGGCCACACACACAGGTTTGTCGTTGAAAAAAAGAAGAAAAACTCTGCTTTCGGTTGTACTTTCAATTGTTTTCTGTATATTTTCTTTTGTATTTTATATTTGATTTGATTTCTATATTAAAAATATGTTAGCTAAAGTACATAGGACCCGTGTATACAGTCGGGGAGATATATCTGTGTGTGCGTTTGTTTTTTGTGTATATAATTTTGTGGCCTTCGTGGAGCGTTCGCAGCATTGGATTGTGTTCACTTTAAACATCTACTATCACAGCGTCGTAATACAAGGCAAATGTAGCCACCGATCGTTCGGATCGCACTTAGTATCTAGTGGAATGTGTGCGGCAGAGTGTTCGGCGAGTTCTCGTAATAAATAATACAATGGTACTTAGAGTTTATAATTATAAAAAAAAAAAAAAATAGATTACAAATAGACTGAGCCTAGGCTCCGCTTCATTCGGTTTTTGGGTAATTGTTCTCTCTACTTATTCGGTTTTGTCATAGCCTGTGGGACTCCTCCATGGGGACTCCCCGTGAGTGGTATTCGTGGTGTGGCGTGTGAGGGTAATAAATAGGGGGCGGGATGTGTGTTCAATAAATTAGGGATGTTTGTGTATGTGTGGAATGGAATGAGCCTCGTTGTGGAATGGAGGTTTCTATTGTTATCTTTAGGCCTAGTTCTGGAGCGGCTTCTTCGTTGCCGCCGCCTCTGGCTTCTTCCGGCACTTGAGCTGCTGCCTCTGCCGGGCCAATATCCGCCGGACACTCTTCAGATACTGCACAAACTCGTATTTGGCAAACAGCGCATCCACCGGCAGCTTGGCGGACTGTGGGGGCGGCTCCACTGCCTCATTGCGAGCTGCCAGGCTGGCCTGTTGATGGAGCTGGACCAGCGGCGTCTTGAACTGCTGCAGCCGCTTCTCCATCAGGGCCAGCGGCACTACCTTGAAGGACTGCCGTTGGCGCCGTTGGGCGGTGGCATTAATGGCCATCTCCACATTGCAGAGCACCCGTCCGGCGGTGGTCCGCATACGCTTGAGATCCGCCGACATGGCGCTTTCCGCCTGCAAGTTGACGTAGTCCCAGTGGAGCTTGGCGTGCCTCAGGTAGCTGAAGGCGGCCACGTAGAACTGCAGATCGCGGTGGACGTGGCGCAGGTTCAGCTGGAAAGAATAAAAAAAAAGGGAGAAGGTTGGGGTTAGTTAAAAGGACAATATAGAAGATTGGGCTTAAAAGTAGACTAGATATAGGGGAATTTAAGGGTTAAAACTACTTGGAATAAGCTGATTTTCAAGCCTATATTTTTCTTGGTACTTAATAGTATCTTAAAGATGCGCATTTCAGCTTAAAGATACATGTTTAGGCTTTAATACACATATTTAAGCTTTAAAATACATATTTAAGCTTAAAGAGACATCTTTAGACTTAAAGATAAGCTGATTTTTAAGCCCATTTTACCAGAGATAGCTAAGATGTAACTTAAAGATACATTTTTACGCTCAAAGATACATCGTAAGGCTTACACAAAAGCCGATTTTCAAACTCATTTTAGTACTGATTGCTCAAATGTACTTTAAAAATACATATTTAGGCTTAAATATAGATATTTACTCCTAAAGATACATGTTTAAGCTTCTAGATAAATGTTACATTTTAAAGATACATATATAAAATATCCTAAATGTATAAAGGTATTTTAGATATAAAGAATATAAGCCTAAAGGTGCATCTTTAAAGATACATATTTCAGCTTGAAGATATAATTTTAAAGCTTAAAAACACTTCTTTATATCTAAAATACCTTTATATATTTAGGATATTTTGAAACTGGTTGTATTACCAATACTTTTCTGCTATCTTTCCCTTAAATATAAACCTCATAAATATCTTTTCTGATTTTATAGTGCAATGAAAAATCACATTAAAGCATTACAAAGCCAGAAAATGATATAGGCGCTATCTATATGGCTATAGGGCCCCTGCCCCTACACTATATAGTTCGATTGTTTTGGGTTGACTGAACCGCCGCGGCAGCTCTGCTGGCTGCGCTGCTGACTGCGCTGTCGCCGTCGCCGTCGCTGCCTGAAAGTGAAATACAAGCCAAGCACTGTGCTCTCTCGCTCGTACTCGTGCTCGTGACGTCGTCGTGCTTGCGCTCTTCTCGGCTTCGCTTCGGCTCGACCCGACTCCACACTCGGCTCTTCTCGGCTCGGCAAATTTCATTCATGCCGCTCACTCGTCCCTCCCGCCTGACTCCCCCTGGGTCCATGCGCCTGTCGGGGGAATCCACGGCTCGCCGCCTCGCTTGGCTGCCATGAATCACGTATACGCCCCGCCGTACCGCTACCCCTGGCCAAAGCACGCGCCGAGTGTGTCATTTACAAATAAACGAGCGTTGAAAAAGCGCTCAAACATATCGCATATCGCTGGTTAACTCCTTCGATCCCGATCGCCGTATCAGCATTTCCAAATAATGCCATTAAGTGCGAATGTGCGTGACGTCAAAAGGCCGTTGATTCGAAGTATTGAAGTCAGCTAGAGCAGGGGGGTGGGGGTGGTTGGGTCGCGCCTATAAATAGAGTTCTATCAGTCCGTCTTGGCACCTCGTCATCACTGTGGGTTCCGCTCCCTGGCAGCAGCAGCAGCAACGGGATGTCAACAATTAGTTGGCACAATAAGCATTGACGTAGTACCCCAGTACCGACTAAATATTGACACACATCCCGAGCGGCAAGTTCCCAGCTTCCCAGCTTTCAATACAGTGAGAGAAAAACAACTTTTTTTAAAAAGGTTACAAGTAGAGCTGGATATAAATCGATATTAACATCGATTACATCGATTCTTTCGATTCTTTTAAAACAAGTTTTTGCTTGCAAAATGGATTGGTTTAAGGGGTTTGATATTTTATTTGTTTTTGTTTTTATGAAAATTTAGTTAAAGAGAGTTTATTTTTCTTTTTTTAATTTGTAGAAATTTATTTCGGTTTTTCTGTATTGCATTTTAATGAATTTAGAAATCAAAAATGGTTTTTTTATTTAATAGAAGCTATTTTCTAAAGAAACAAAAAGCATTGGTTAATAGATTTTTTTACGTTAGTGAACATTTATTTTTCTCCATTTAATTCAAAGAAACTTTGGTTTTTTTTTATTGGATCTCAATAATTGTATCTAAAAAAAAATCGATTTCTTCCCAGCTCTTGCTGTGCGTAACTAGGCAGCAAATTAAAGCTAATCAGTTATTTACCTATTGATTTATTTTGTTGAAATATTTATTTATTAAATAAATAGCAAATATCTGCCTTTATAATTAATAAATCCTACTTTAAGTATGTCATGTTTCTAGCCCTAGTTTTGCTCTGTGCAGTGCCAGGCTCGGTCTGGGTACTTTTCCCCCAACCTAGAGGGTATGACGACAATTGAGAAATTTCAGCGAAAGCCAAGCTTGGCTCATCGCTTCGAATAGGCGATTGACTGAGCGAATAGAGTGACGCGAATGGCCAAGAAGGTGATGCCTGATAGTTGAGCTTTGCCACACAAAAAAATTTACTATACCAAACTATATTCCCATGAAGCGACCTTTGAGACACTGAGCTCGACTTTATGATGATTTGACGCTTTTTTCAGTGCTCTTTTTTGAGGCAAAGTTCACTGGCTACCGCTTACTCTTCGGTGATGGTCCAACGCCCACGATCTCTCTCCCCAATAAAGCCTTTATGGCCATGCCAAGTGAACTACACTTTTCTGGTTATCTGCAGATAATTCTGTCTTGCACAAAACTTTCCCGGACACCTGAGAGAATTAGCACATTGAACCGAAACAATCTCGTTCGATCCACACTTACTCCCTCGATTTTAAGGGCCTTGTATATAGTATATATATATTTACTTAAACTTTATATAGCTTAGCTCTGATTAGTACATTTTTCTGCGAATACCAACATTCCTTAGCCCACCCTTTCGCGGTTGCCCCACCTAAAACGACAACATTATTCACGGCTAAGCTTATCGCTCGATTGGGGTTTTCCCTCAGCTGGGCTGGATCATTTTTCCCCCACGGAAACTATTTCCAAATTCCAGTCTACAATTGTTTCCTATTTTTCAGGGTATCGAATTTCAGATTCAGATATTGCTGCTGTCGCGTCCAATTCAGATTTCAATTTGATTAGCTTCTGTTGAGGCGCTTTTGTTGTTGTTTACTTGTCAAAAGTGTAAATAAAATGTGCCGCTTGATTTTTATTTTGTTTGCGCAATAAATTAGCCACTTTGAAATGAGTCGGACTCGGATTTCAGTTTCAGAGTCAGAGTTTAAGTTCGTTTTGGCTTTGAGATACAGTTCCTTAAAACGTGAAATGGATCGATCTATATAAACAATGCGCGCGCGCCTTCAATTTGCTCTTAATCTTAATGTGGTTATGGCATCGACCACCAATGTTCCGACTCTCGCCTCGATCGGTGTCGTGCTGTTGTTGTTTGTCCATGCAAATCGATGGCTAATGGGGCGTCCCGAATCGAGCGAGGGGAGTTCAAGGAGTTGAGTGAAGGTAAAGGTATATTTTCCAAACCTCAAAAATCTAGACTTCCTAAAAGTTACTTTAAGCCTTGCCACCTTTCTAATGTAACTTTTGGCTTATACATCTTATTAAACTCAACAGAAACTAATGAATCAACCCCCGGTCCGCTCTTGGCACGATTCCCCGGACTGGGAAGCGGATTCCGTTTCGGTTTTGGACTCATATGACCAAGCGAGCGAGATAACTTGTGACGGTCTGTTTGCACCTACGCAGGTGACCGGCGCGGGCGCCTCACGTGACCCCGTTTATCACCTCGAATCCCCCGGCAACAGCGCCAAAGAACCCGCTGCTGGCCGTATTTGATGTTTGTAAATGATCATCGGGTTCTTCACACCCCGTTAGATATATGTCAAATAAATGGATATCTAGTAATTGTGTCTTTCCCCCCTTAGTTAGTTAGGATCTTGACTCTCACCTGCTTGCTGCTATCATTCAGCCTTGGCAGGAATTTGTAGTGCTGCCTGTGGAACTCCCACTTGCGCAGCTTGGAGATATTGATGGCCTTGTTGGTGCCAGTGCCCACCTCCCTGATCGAGTTGGTGGTGTTCCTGGATTTGTCCTCGGCCTGCAGGGTTCTCAGCTCCCTGCCGGTCTGATTCTGCAGGCTTTGAAGGGCCTAAAAAGAGAAGAAGTCTTCGTTTAGTATATTATCCTGGCTCCTAGTGGAGGCTTCTTTTACTCACCATTTGTCGCTTCTTGCAGACATTGGAGGTACGCTTATTCTGCGTCCTCCTTGCATGCCACTTGCCGCCGCATGTGTTCACCCAATCCAACTTGGCATTGCTGGCATTCAGCTCCAGCTGGAAACGCTCTCGAAAGGTGGCCGGCGGGTGTCCATGCCGCTTTTGCAGGCGCTTTGCCACGGAGGAAGTCTCTGTGGGAGTGGGAGCTGCGGCTACACCAAAGACACCACTACCACCACCACCGCCACCGCCACCTCCAGCGAATTGCTGAAGCTCACACATGATGACCAGGGTGAGCGTCAGTAGCCACCAGATTCTGTTTGTATGATGACGTCGCTCCACGGGCGGCGGTAGCGGTACCGTTGGATTCCCTGCGCTGGCCGTTGTGCTAACGTCGAGCGGACAGTCAGCTGTCGTCTGGAAATAAAACATGAAAAATATAACTTAAAATAAGAAATAGGTCAGGAATAATTAGGAATCTAGGTTGTTAATACTTTTAAGTTTTTCCCAAATTTTCCGATGATTTCCCTGAAACCTTTTCCTATATTATTTCCCTCTTTTTTATATAGATTTTCCCTTATCATTCCCACGCTTCAGGCAAAACTCTCTTGACGTCAGAGTTGTGTTTAGCATCAGAAAAGTGTAACCCCGACTGGTTATAACTTGGCTAAAATTATAATTTTAGCCATTTCGGATATTTATTAATATACGAGAGACGAGAGATGAGAGATTTGCTGGCAAAATGAGGGCTGGCCAGACATCATCTAGCCCGTATCGAGGGAGCAATTACCATAAGTCAAGACTAAACCACTAAACCGACTGGTTGTCTACTAGCTTTCGGCGGTATACGACCTTTTGTGTGAGCTTAAATATATATACACTGAAAGATATATATCTATATGTAGAGAGAGATAGATATTCGGGCACGTGAGTGTGTGCGAGTGGGCGACGATTGTTGGTAGCTCGGGGATTCCCGCTGGACATAATCGCAATTGTTTGGGGGCCCGAAGCGTGCGTGATTTGTTATTGTTATCGTTTGCGCTATTGCCGTTGCCGTTGCTGTTGCTGTTGCTGTCTTTATCTGGCTGACATAATTATTTAAAATTAAAAATAAATTTCTTTATTTGGCCGAAACATTTTCTGGCTGAATCATCGTGGCTGTAGCGGTGACGGCAGTGGAGGTGGAGGTGGAGGTGGAGGTACCTCTGGTGGGGTAGGCCCTGTCCACTACACGCGCCTATCTACACTGGGCAACATGGTCAACGAACCTGGCCATTTGGTGGGAGGCTTCTTGCAAGCGTTTGTGAAATTCGCTTGCCTAGCCCCTGCTAGCCTCGCCTCGCCTCGTCTAGGCCCCCGGACCTTGGCCATGCCCAATCGCTTGGCGCTGACTAATGCCAGAACCCCTCAGCCCTATGAACTCACGACCACCCTCTGCCAGGGAACGTGTAAATTAATTTCACATGTTTGGGTCTTACGGATTTTGGCTAACGAATTCAGGCCACCAAGGGGTGGTCAAGGGTCAAGGTCCTGACCTTGAAGAACTAGCTTATAGTAAAGGATATTATCAACTGTGACTTATCCTTTACAAAGGAAACAATCCTGCCTTATGATTCAACATTCCAGGGTATATTTATCTCCCGGTTTTGCTTAGAAGACATTACTAATTAGAATAACCACAGAAAACTGTGATTCATAATGTAATAAGTTGGATAAGTTAAATAACTGGGAAAAGCAATGCAACATCAGAGAAAATGGTGATTCATCATCATCTTCCTGGGGGGTATGTATGTATATTCCTTAAGCCACCATGACCTCTGATCCTTAGATAATTTCATCACAACATTGACTACGTGATTACAGCACCATTTCCAATGGACTATACATATATGGAATGTACTTCCAGCTGGTACTACTTATCGCCAGGCCAAGCACGCACAGGTAAGTTCCGCTCTCTTCGTTTTGTTTGCATTGCAATGCTTCCTCCTCCTTCGGGCCAAAACAAAAAGCCAAACAAAACAGAACGAAACGAAATGAAATGAAACAGAACCTAGGGGACTTTTTTACTTTTATACCCTCAAGTGTCCAAGTCACGTAATTAACTAAAAGCTGCTGCACTCACTTAGCTTCTACTCACCATTTACATAAAAATCGTTGGCTGGAAATTTCGCACAAAAATTTCCCCAAGCAGGATATTTCTTGTTCACTCGCGTTAAATGGGAAGTCTCTTGTTGGGAAGTTTTTTGGGAACTTTTTTTCGGGAACTTTCGATAATGCAATTTAAACAAACATAAAAAAAAACGATATATGTTTTTGTTTGTGGGAAACGCGGACACGCAAATTAATTTGTTACTTCTTTTTTTTTTTTTTTGGCAAACTTGATTTGGTAGTTATATCGCGTTAAGTGTCGACGCGTTGCCTTCGACTGTCTGCTAAGATTTGATTCCGATCCGATCGAAATGCCCTCCGTCGATGTCGATGTCGAAGTCGCTGCTGATTTCTCGCCGGGGAGAGCCGCCGCGCCGAGCGTGTGGAGAGTGGAGTGAAGCGAATTGGAGTGGCTTTCTCGCTGTTTTTTTTTTTTCGCTTTTTTTTTGCATGCAGCCGGACGGGGACGAAGACGGAGACTGAACTCCCCAGTTACTATGAGCATACTAATGAGGAGGCGGAGGCCCATGCCCAAGCCCCCTACCCATTCCAGCCAGAGAGAGAGAGAGCGAGAGCGAATGCCTCTCTGAGTGCTTGTGTGTGAGTGTGCAGAAAAGCGCTCAAAACATTTTTGCCCAAAAGCGAGTGCCAAGAACACAAACAAAAACAAAAACAAAGCGAGAAAGCCATCAAAGGCCAAAATGTTGGCGGCAACAGCTGAGCCAGCGAGCTAGGTTTGGGTCTCGACGGGGCTTGTACCCTGTAAAAGGGAAATTTCTTAACTTAAACATGAAGATCTAGCTAAAGAGGTATCAAAAGAAGTCTTGATAATTCTATAAATAAATATAAACAGCAAATTCTGTAAAATATATTAGTATAAGTAAGCTAGTTAGGGGTCTCGACTGAGCTTGTACCCTTTAAAAGGGAAATTTGTGAGCAATAATATAAGAGATCTATTAAGATGTATCAAAAAAATCACAAATCATATATATATGTAAGTATATAAGTGTATAGATATAAATACATTTTTTTATAATATAAGAATATAAAAAAGCATGTTAAGAGTCTCGACTGGCTTTTACCCTGTAAAAGGTACATTTTTTGAGCAAATAAAAATAAAAGAGATTTCAACAGATGTATCAAAAACCATACTAAGAAACATAAAAGGTAAATTATAAAGTATAAGAAAGCTAGTTATACCTAGATATTTATCAAGTGATCTATCAAGAAATCTATTTCAAAAATATGAGTTAAAATATATAAACCAAGTTCTATAAAATATAATAATATTAGCAATCAAGTTTTGGTTTCGACTAGTTTTGCACCGTGTAAAATAAAATTTTATAAGCAAAAATTGAAGAAATCTAACAAAAATCATATAAATAAATGTATATACTCCAAGTACTATAAAATATTATATTGTATTATGGAAATTTCTAGTTGATCTTGCAGCCCATATCCCCCTATGAGTATGTGGACTCTGTAGTAACACCGCTTAGTTATTGATTAGGCCAGCCCAGATCCAGTGATTTCGTCTTGGAGTGAAACACTTGAGCAGGCACGCTCTTGCGCTACCCGCGGATGACACATAGTCTCGCCGAGCGTGGAGCGTGGAGCAAAGTGATTGATCGATAGCTGGCCGGCCCGATCTCTTCTAGGGGCCCAGATAAGGCCCAGCTGGTACTGCCGGTAGGGAGAGCGCTATCTGCCAACTTGGGCTCTCTCTCCCGCTCGCAGATAAACAAATTGCAAATCATTTGCCGGTCTCTGGGTTCGAGTTCGGGTTCGGGGTTTCTCTTCTCTGCTCTCTCAGCGAGAACTCTGTACGGACTATTATCGAATGACTTTCACTGACTGCCACTTCCGATTTGGGTTTGTAACCCCCGCAAATGCTGGGGGCACACACACACACACACACACATACACTTGCGGGGCAATGCCGGTATGAATTTCAGTTATTTCCGTTCAATTTCGCAAGAATATTACTCATACGCGCCGCTGCCAGTGCCAATGACGACACACCATACACAAGACCCAAACAGAGACGAGACACTCTCACGGTCTCGACACACACTCACACGAATATAGCGATTCATTCATGAATTCCACGGCGAGTGAGAAATGCGGATGCCTAGCACACAGCCTTAAGGCGGTCTAAATTTCACCGCGCGCCAAAAACATGATCAATCGAAAAGTTATTGAGCACTCATCATTACTCATGGACAAGTGATGGAGATGTCGCGGCTCATCGCCTGCCACCCCTCGTGGAAATGGAAGGGGTTAGCCGAATTGTAAATGCTCTATTTAATTTAATAATAAATATATATAAATATTATAAATAAATGTTTAAGAAGGACAAGATAGCATGTTCGAATTGTGAAATAAATCGAAATTCAGATTAATTTTTAAATAATTAATTAAACATATAAAGTTCCGTTTGGTTCTTAATATTGTTTTAAATTTAATTATTCATTGTATTTAGTATATATTATAGTTATCTTAAGCTCTTTTTGGTTTAATATAATATATAAATATAACAAATAAATACAAAATAAATACAAGAAAATTAGTTAAGGCTCAAAAAACAAAAAAACTAAAGATGCAAACCATTCCCTGACTCTTTTCGAATAGTATTAATCACTTACTTTGCTGTTTAATATTAAAATTAAATGTATTATTAAATAATATTATTTTTTTTATTATTAAATATATAAATCGTTGTATTTATATTTTGCCCCGAAATACCCTTTCCCAGCTTATGAAACCCAAAACAATCTTTACCCTTTTTACATAGTAATCACCACTTACTTTACTGCTCAAAATTAAATTATAATTAATTTTTACTACTAAATGTATAAATTTCTGTATTTAGTATCTTTTAGATTTATAAATACCCTTATATATACCCTTTCCCAGCTTATGAAACCCAAACGAGGTCGGTCAATCGTACGGATTTTGGCCACTGTCATGATTGGCCATTCTATTTTTAGACCATTGTGTCTAGATTTTGCTTAAATTGAGTGCGGGTTGGTATTATCTTGGACTTATCGTGTTGATCTGTCCAATTCTCAAGTTTGATTTGTCCAAATTGGTTGTCTGCTCGACTGTCTCTGTCCTATCGCCGCCAGAGTTGTTATCTGTTGGTGGTGCTCTCCTGGCGTTTAGCGTGAGGCCCTAATAGACGATGGCTAATGCATGACAGCCGATGGTGATGATGATAATGACGATGATGATGATGATGATGATGATGATGATGATCGTTGTGCGACGGTGGCGTATGAGTAATATTTGACGTCTTTAAAACCCCGGTAATCATGTGGGGGCGACATGCGCTCGGCACATGGGAAACTCTCGTCAAATTGAATGGAAAAGTTGCATTGCATGTGGAAGCTGAGGCAAAAGTTGGTGGGTATTTACCTGTGTGGAAAAGTAACAAGGTCACACGATCTGTGAGGTAGAACTTTTCCAAAACCCCCAAGTGGAACTAAGTGCTTAATTGGCATTTAGAATTATTTGCAATGAATATTCTGGTCAACAAATTAAATATTTCTTCTTAGAGAAATATATAGTTCAAAGGAAAGCAGCTATACCCCTAGAAAAACTGACTTTAAATAACGGAATGACTTTTTTATCAGGCCGTACGTGAACTGAGAGGCATAAAACTCATTCAGCTGGCACCGAAATTCCCCAAAAAAGAAAAAAAAACTGATATTATTTGTGATTGGAATCTTTAGAAATTTCCAGCCGATAACAGACCCCCAGACCTGCCCCCGCAAAAGAACTTTGAACCCGCCGCCTGACTGGGAGATGCCAGCTCATCGCCAGAGGGAGCTGGAGACAGAGCTGGAGCTGGAGCTGAAAGAGGCAGCGAGTAACCGCATAATACTAATTTATTGTCCAATCGATTTGAAACATCAACTAAAAGGCAGAGTCGCGACTCTGCCAAAGTGAGTCATAAAAAGTCAGGCAACAATGCCAAATATATACAAAAATATATATATATATATATCAAGTGTGTATTTAACGGGTAATGAAATTTGTTGCAGTGTCAGGGCGATGTGGTAAATTTTGTTTTTTTTTTTTTACTCATCGCTACCCATTCATGAATAGGTTGGGTACCACGTGGCGAATGAGCAATTTGCCATTTTCAATTGCAGCCGCATATTAATAGCCCCCAATGGAAACCCAAGCAAGCGAGAGATATGGAGAAAAGGGGGAGGGTCAAGAAGGGAAACAGCTGCCGGGGGCCTTAATGCCCGCCAATTTACGGGGGATACCGCCGAGGTTTTCATGTTTGCCGACCGAACAAATTTTAAAAGTTTCACACATAACAAAGTGCGAAGGATGCAGTCGAAAGAGCCCGAAAAAGAGCCAAACTTAATTAGCGCCCATTGCAAAAATATTTACGGCAAAACAAAATAACACCCATTAAGGCAGGCCCCTTCGAGGGGGGGTTGCCGAGGGGAAGCGCAAATGCGTGATGATCACCGGGTAACGCCCCTCGACGAAGCCCCGAAAACGAAGCCGCCGCCGCCGCCGCCGCCGCCGTAGTTCCAGGAGCGGCATCAAGGCAACAAGGGGATGCATATGGTTCAAGCATTACACTGAGAACAAAATCAGACATTATTCGAATATATATAAAGTCGATGGAAATTATTTAAAATGTATTCTTTTAGGAAAATACAATTATTTATATATTAAAGAATTTTTTCAGCTTTATGCTTTCAGTAATATTAATTTTTAAATAATTTATACAAATTATATAATTATTTCTCTCTCTGTTTCAAGACCCGGCGACTCATCCATGGGAGGTGCAAACGCCTCAACGCAACTCGATTTGATCCCAGCCGATCCATGGCAGCCCGGCCCATCCCGTGCTCACGTTCTTGGCCATGGCCCGTCATTATGAGCCGTCACCTTGTTGTGTAGACATTGGCCATGGCCACCGCACAGACGCAGACAAAGATGGTGATGGTGAGATGGAGCCGGTCGAGCTGGAAGCTTGGCTGCTTGGCTTCTTGGTTACCTGGCGGAGAAGGGGCTGCAACTGCTAATCCGGTTCGGCGGCGGCGGCAATCGCTGGAGTGAAATCAACTCGTTAACTCGTTACCAAAACTGATCCCATTTAGCGGCGGCGCATCGCAAACGCGGGCGCCAGTCACACAGCCCCAAGGAATGCCCTACTCCGAGGGCTAAAGGCCAGGTTTAAAAAGTAGGGTCTAGAGATCTTTAGCAAGTTGATGTTATTTTACTTTTTCTAACCAAGTAAATTGGCAAATAAATTATTTATATAATTTTATAGCTCATTTCTGGGGCGTCTTGGTTAGATTACAAAAGCTGACCAGCTTGGGGA